ATATCATATTACTACTATTCTACAACTCTACATCATTATATTATATATATTATTATCATTATTATCATCATTATCATTATCATTATCATTATTATTATCATTATTATCATCATTATTATTATCATTCCTACTATCATTGTTACCATGGTTATTATCATCTTTTTTCAATAATTTCATTATTGTTATTATCATCATAGTTATGATAATGATTATAATAATAACAATATCGACAACAACAAGAAACAGTAATAATAATAACAATAACAATGATAATGATAATAATAATAATAATAATAATAATAATAATAATAATAATAATAATAATAATAATAATAATAATAATAATAATAATAATAATGATAAATAAATAATATAGCAATAAATGACAGTAATAACAGCAATGAAAATAATCATAAGGATAATAATAATGATCAACAACTATGATCAGACGACAGAGACGAGAGATACGCCACGAGAGGAGAGAGAGGAGAGGGAGAGCGAGAGAGAGAGAGAGAGAGAGAGAGAGAGAGAGAGAGAGAGAGAGAGAGAGAGAGAGAGAGAGAGAGAGAGAGAGAGAGAGAAGAGAGAGAGAGAGAGAGAGAGAGAGAGAGAGAGAGAGAGAGAGAGAGAGAGAGAGAGAGAGAGAGAGAGAGAGAGAGAGAGAGAACTCGGCACCATTTGCGGAGTACAGGATCCTGAGAACCTCCAAAAGGGCCCCCCCCCCAAAAAAAAAAAATCAGCTGGATCAAACATACATAGGTATCACACAGCTGGATCAAACATATATACGTAAACAAAAATCAGCTGGATCAAACATATTTACGTACCACACTCAACGTCTTTCAGGGTAATTTACACGTCACGCTGGGTAAAAAAAAAAAAATAGTTCATGCAGATACCTTGGGAGGAGGTGACCCGCTCCCTGTCCGAGGTCAGATAGGGTAACACAGGGTTCGGGGGACCTCACGCCTGAGGACAGTACTGTAGACAGGTCCTACTTCTACGAGAGATACGCCACGACTGAGAGAGTGAGAGAGAGAGAGGAGAGAAGGAAGAGGGGGGGAGAGGGAGAGGAGAGGGAGAGGCGAAGAAGAGAAAGAGGAGGGAGAAGGGAGAGGGAGAGGGAGCGAGAGGGACGAGAGAGAAGAGAGAGAGAGAGAGAGAGAGAGAGAGAGAGAGAGAGAGAGGGAGAGAGAGAGAAGAGGGAGAGAGAGGAGAGAGAGAGAGAGAGAGAGAGAGAGAGAGAGAGAGAGAGAGAGAGAGAGATGAGAGAGGAACCAGAGAGAGGAGAGGAGAGAGAGAGGAGAGAGAGAGAGGGAGAGAGAGAGAGAGAGAGAGAGACGAGAGAGAGAGAGAGAGAGAGAGAGACAGAGAGAGAGAGAGAGAGAGAGAGAGAGAGAGAGAGAGAGAGAAATTACATAAGATACGCAGGGATAAACAGAAATTAATATCATTTGACGAAATAGCGAAATAAATCGAAAGAAAAAGTTACAAATCTAAATGAAAAATGAAAAGGTGGAATATCTCAATAAAACTATTATCAGAAAATATATATTACTGCAATAATGAAAGAAGAAAAAGAAGAGAGAGAATTAATAAGAATCATTACATAAGAGATGAGGAGAAAAAAGAAGAGGTGTTAATATGGAATAAAACAATAAGAGTAGATAGAAAAGACGAATTTTTTAAATAGTTAAATAGAAAATGTAGAAAGCGCAATAAAGGAGCAGAAAATAAATGTGAAAAATATTAAATCAATAGAATGGACAGGAAAAAGATAACCATTATGAATGTTAAGAAATTAATAGATATAGATAAGTGTCTAAAGTAATTTGATGAATATATTAAAAAGTGAGAATGAATATCAAAAGAGAAATGACAATAATAATGAAAAAAAAACAGATAAAATAAATGTCAAGTGTGCGTATCCCCCTCGGAGAAAATGGCGCCAATTCGTTTTACATCCGGGTCTCGCAAGGATCTCCAGGGACTGAATTCAAGCTCTATGCCAGTTACTCTTTTTGTGACTATTTTCTTTAGTCATTTTCCTTTCTTAACTCATTTTCGCTTTAGCCTTTTTTGTCTATGATTATCGGCATTATTTATTTGTCTATTTATTTTCTATGTCCGGTATTTTCGCTCCGAGAATTTCGAAGTGTCATGGCGTCTCGTTCTATTTTTGGAAAGAAGCACATGGGGTTTATTTTGATGACGTCACAAAAAGTTACGGACGCTCTGTGAAAATGGTCGATCATTTTGGTCTCTTCAGTTTTCAAAAAGGATGGAATATAATGGTTTTGATGCTCAAATTTTCAGTGAACAATCATCAAAACTGACATGACACCTCCTCGTGTTGCTACTGATCTTGCCTTTCCCTTTGACTGCCAATTTCTTCTGCCTTTTCCGTTTGTTATGTCTGTTTTTTTTTTTTTTCGTGAATGTCCTCTGCAATTTCCATCAGTCAATATCATCTGTTCTAAATTTAGTTTTGGAAATCTGT